AAAGATAACATAAAGGTTAAATGAGAACATTCTCGCCAAGCGCCTAGAATGGTGCTTGGCACTCAGTAGGCACTCAAATATGTTTTGAGTGAATTAATAATACTCTGATTTTAATAGTTTTTCTTGTACATAGGCCTCCCCAACAAGATCATAGATATCCCGATTTAGCAAGTAGAGGGCACATAGTAGGTGACCAGCAAACACAGCTTGACATACCTAAACTGCTTATTGTAGGTTTCTCAGAAACATGTTTTATGTTCCCAAATCTCTGTTAGGGCAAAATCATCTAAGGACATTGTGTCACTTGCTAATTCCAGTTTCATCAGCCTACCCATCCCACGCAGTTAAGCTTCCTTGTTTGTGATTAGGAATGCAACAAAAGGGCTTTGTTTGAATTACACCCACACACAAAAACTTAGCTTGCTGAGTTTTAAAATTAAATCATCTTCTGACTCTTACTGATATGTTTATAATGTGATGTACTTTAGAAAAATATTTCCTTATCTTCCTAAGGATCAAAGCGATCCCAAAATGTAAAAGCATGCTGTGCTCTTTAGGAATGCTTATTAAATTTTTTGCATCATTTAAAAAATCAGCAAACAGCTGTTTGACTTTTTTGGTTATCTCAAGATACAATAAATTATATTTTCAAAATGGGAGGCTATTTTTAAAATACTTTGCTTTTCAATAGGTTATACAGTGAACTCTTTGGTTGATCATTTGATCTTGCGAAACAAATTCTAAGTGTGCTACAGGGGGCCCACCGCCCAACCGATAATTCTAGATTTTTGGGGGTCCCTCCTCACGCATCTGTGTCAAGTCCCCATAGCCAGTAAGTCTGGAGTAAGGGTTCAAACCCAGGCCCACAGGCCCCTCCCATCTGCACACCCTGGAATGGGGGAATCAGAGTCCTGCTGTTTCCCTCCTCCCTCTCCTCACCTCATCTCCTCCATCAGGTAGCTCTTTACCACTGTAGTTCAAGATAAAAGCAGGAAGGCCCTCCTTCCCCCTAGACTGCATGCTCTTCCTTACCGCCTGCATCCAAGTGGTGGCTGAGATAGGGACTCTGCCTCCTCAGCAGCTTTAAGCTCTGTCTTCTCTGCAGGTTCATGCCACCACCTTAGTGCCCGGATCTCACCATCTCTCATCCCGGCTGGTATAGTACTCTCCAAACTCAACCCTCTCTGATTTACTTTCCTTGTTATTGGCAGCATCCTCCTGAAACTCAGTGTGGAGCATGCCTTTCCCTATCTAAGGTTCTCGGGCTTCCAGTGCCACAGGCACTGTCCAGACCTTCCCTGTGTGGCACAGAGGGGGGCCTTTTACCATCCCACCCTCATTCTTCTTCACCTTCTGCGGCGCTCTTCCCCCACCATCTCTATCATCTTCTCCCAGCTGCTCAGTGTTGCCTGGGTTGGGTTATTCCCCATGTCATGCTTTGTCATGCTATTCCTTCTACCTGGATGCTCCTCGCTTCCTTTCCCCCTTCCCTCCCATCTGGAAAATTTTTCATGGCTTAGTTAGAACTGAAGCCTTGACCTGACTCAGCACTGATATTGACACACGTGCACCGTGGACAGGGCTCTATTGTGAAAACCTTCCCAATGTGCTAGGGTGGTCTACTTGGCCTTCTCTTCTGTACTGTGAATTTTAGGGGTCTGATGGTACTTTATTCCTCTTTGTATTCCCAGTGCTAGCTAGCATAGTGACTGACATATAGAAAATCTCTTAAAATGTCCCTGAATGAATGGGAAGGAAACTGAGAAAAGGTCTGGATAGCTTACATTTAAAAGCAAGTCTTGCTATTATCTTCAGAGCACAAAGAGAAACTTTCTTCACATGACCTTGGTAAAAGAACTCCATCTGCCTTCTCTTTATTGTTCTATGCACAGTCTCTCTTTATATTTCAAAAGTCTGATTCAGAACTTTCAGCAAGGTGTCTGATCCTTCACAAATGAGGTGTGCCTTCTGGTATTATGTCTGGGCAGCTGTATTGTTCTTCCGGATTTCAAACCAGAGGGCTTCTCTGGAACTCCCAAAGTTATCAGTAAACATAATCTCACACCTCATCTCCTTGACAGGAAAAGGGATCTTCTTTCTGTAGCGCCTGTGGAATTTATCAGGGCCTGTTTCCCTTGGGTGGGAAAAGCTTTTCAGCACGTCTTTTTAGCTCGACAAGGACAGATACAGTTGTGATGAAGCCACTAAAGAGCCACCCTCAGTGTTACCATGACGCTGACTGAGGTCACTCTTCCCAGCATCTGTGGGCTCCTCAAGGCCCATACTGAATTCCCGGACTAACATTCTGCTACCTAGAGGGGTCTTGATCATGCCTTTACCAGAGTGGGAACATGTGGCAGGAAGATGACTGTTCTGTCTCCTAATGTATTTTGGGCCCGACGTGTATATGAAATGCTTCTATCTCACCTCCAGGAACCTCATACAAAAGACACTTTTTCTCACTGAAGGCTGGGCTTTTGCTGTATAATTAGCCAGTAACATTTGTCGAATATTTGAAGTCATATGTAACTGAGTTTAAACCCTTACTCCCAGACCTGCTTGCAGTGTGATTTGGGCCAGCCCCCGAGGGGCTTAGAGCACTAGGTAGGATTTCTAATCACAGGAGGGGACGAGGTCATAAACCAGGAATCTAAATCCGTGTGAGGTTATGGGGGCAGCCAAGATGAGAAACTGGCTAAGGGGTAACAGCCTAGTCTCTGGGAGTTGGAAGTCCGCGGTGAGGGTGGGACCAGCAGCAGGAATGCTGAGCCCTGGACCCTCGAGCTTTCTACCTGCCCGCTGAGAAGAGGGTCAGTCCAGCTTTGGGACAGTGCTGAGCCTAACCGTGTAGAGGTTACATGGGCCATACCATGAGGATTAGGAGGTGCGGGGACAGGAGACAGTTGTCACATACTGGCTTCTGCTGTTCATCTCTTGGTTTTGCTTCCTGCACCACCTCCTTAGCCTGGCTGCACTGCTGTCTCTTTAGTTCTCTTGTCATTTCTAGGTGGGCGTGCTGTATTTTGGCCCATGTTTCCTCCCCTGATTTCAGCCACAGCCACTGCCCTGGCAGTTCTCTGCCTCATCACTGTGGTCAGGTCCAGTATGCTGTGGCCACAGTCTCAGACTAACCTCTGTTCTAATTACTGACTCGGTGCTTCACTGGGGAGCTCTGAGTCCACCCTGCTCTGTTCTGACTCCATTACTGACCATCCTTCCTTCTAGGGGTCTCTGACAGGCTTGTCTCCTGAGCTTCGCTACTCCTCATCAATTCATTAATAATGAATGACTGTTGACAATAATACATTTATTGAGCTCTTATTGTTTGCCAGGCATGTTATCTCATTTTTAATCTCATAAAAACCCTAAATAGTTCTGTTATAATCAGACTTTAACAGAGGAGGAAACTCAGGGTAGTTAGGGAATTTTCCTAAAATCCCAAAATATAAAATGGGTAGCCTCTGGTTTAAAAACTAGATTAGAACCCAGGTTTGTCTTATCTCAGAACTAACACCTTTAGCCACATTCTAGCCTCTCTCCATCTCAAGAGAGATCTTATTTTTCTCACTTTTCCTGGCCTATCTAGCAACCCAAGCATTAGTCTACCTGACTAGGATCAATTCAATAAATATTTGTTGACTGACTGTAAAAAAATCTTGTACACCTGCACGTGTGTCCCTGCTTCTCACATGACCATTTTCCTATCATTGTCTCTCTTTAGGGAGTCCAAATATATGTGTTATTTGGAAAACTTCATCCATTTTGGAAAGCCCTTCAATGTCTCTCTTATACATTTTAAAAGTTATTTCAGGTTAAAATAGGTTAATCCAGCTTCTTTGATTAATCTCTTCACTTTTTAGCTGAGCAAAGGCTTAGAGAAGGGAATAACTTACAGTCATATAGCAAGTTAATAACACAGTTAAAGCAAGAACCCAAGACTCTTGACACTTGGTCTAGTATTATTCTGATGTCTTCATACATAAAATTTTATTGGCTTCAGGGGAATCATTTTTCATTTATAATATAGGAGCTAATTTACTTTTTCATAGAAAAGGGATAGGTAGGTTTTTAGCCCCAAGATCAAGTAGAATTAGTTGGAGCAATATATTGTGACAGCTTTATCTTCACCATCCCAAAGTTGATTCCTAAGTCCCAGAGAAGTGTTTCTAAACTGCAGGAAAGTCTCCCTACAGTCTCACAGTTCAAGTGTTTTCAGCATGAAATGCCTGATAGATCACCTCACTCTTTTGCCAAAAATAAGGCAGAGCAGCTCTTTCCTACTGACCTTCTATAGTAGTGTGGCCCTCCTTACCAGGCCATTCTTCAGTTTTGCAGTCTAGGACATTCACACATTCCCTTTGGCTTTGCCAATTCTTTGTGTTGTGAGGGTGGGATGTTTAAGCGTTGAAGTCATTGACTTGAAAAATGAGAAACTATTTTGGAGAGCATTTTGTTCTCTAGACCACGTAGCTTAGAGCAGTGTCCGCATTGAGGTGACTGCTAATTTTTATGCAGTTCTTGCCAAGAAAGTTAAAATAATAGCTTCATTTATCTAGCATCAGGGTATGACAGAGGACTTTAAAATTCCCAAAAAGCTTTGTACACACACAAAGTCCCTTGGGAAGTGGGAAGGAAGGAATTGTTGCTCCCATTTTAATATATGGATAGAGGCCAAAAAGGACCAAGGTAGCTCCATGTCCTTTGCATTAATAAACTTTAAAAGGGTAATGTATAGGAAGTCCAGGTGACAGTTACGTGGGAATTCTTTACACTAAGTTTGCAGCATTTCTATGCAAGCCTGAAATTTAAATGGTAAAAAATTAGTTAAGCAGAGAAAGGCAGTGATTGGTTGGGGAAATAAGCAGTCAAGTCTTTCCCGCTTCTATTTAGTTGCTTCTCACTCTAAGGATATAGCTGTCACTGTGTCCAAATTCTGCCACATGAGTGAGAAGTCTCAGCTGAGAATGCTAATGTGGGGGCTCCCTCCTGTGTCTCCTCAGGCGCAGTGAGCCTGCAGCCCGACCTCACTCGTGGCATACAAGCAAATCTGGGGAGAACTCACTGGATGCCAGCATGATGCAGATATCTCAGGGCACGATTGGTCCTCCTTGGCACCAAAGCTACCATTCCAGGTAAGTGGCCACAGCCGAGACCGAGGGTTTCTTTCTAATGTCATGTTCCCAGAAAAGAACATTTTCTTCTCTGTTTGAGAACACATTCTGATGCCCCAAATATTAGGTCTGTCTCCACTGTTTTCCTTACCCTCTTGAAATGTCTGATGTGTGTAAGAGTCATCTTCACATCCTGTGCTGGACTGACTTGAAGACCAGAGTTATTCTGAGCATTGACTAGCCATTTGAGATGTGAGGTATTTATATTTATCCTTTCTTGGTCAGATTTTTTCATTACATATTACAACACCTATTAGAAAAATTGAGATTCTTCTTCCTTCAGTGCTTAATTTTCCTTTCTGCTTTAGTGCAGTGGCTCACACCTGTAATCCCAGCACTTTGGGAGAATGAGGTGGGAGGATTTCTTGGACTCAGGAGTTCAAGACCAGCCTGGGCAACATAGTGAGACCTCATCTTTACAAAAAAAAATTAAATTAAAAAGTTAGCAAGATGTGGTGGTGTGTACCTTTAGTCCCAGCAACTTGGAAGGCTGATGCAGAAGGATTGCCTGAGCCTAGGAGGTGGAGGCTTCGGTGAACCGTGATCATGCCACTACACTCCAGCCTGGATGTCAGAGTGAGATTCTGACCCAAAAAACAAACTGTATCTGTTTTTGTCTAAGTAATGTTATTCATGGAGCTTAGGGTCCCTTAGCTTTTTCATACAAATGAGATGCCAATGCTGTGTGTGTGTGTGTGTGTGTGTGTGTGTGTGTGTGTGTGTGTGTGTGTGTGTTTCTGTTGGGGAGGAGGGGGAGGTGGGCTGCTTCTGGAAGGACTACGTAACAGATGGTGACTACCATTTGGCCAGGATGCAATCAGAGCCCCAAGTCAAAGGCCAAATCCTAGCCCTCTCACTGTGGACATGGCTCCTGGACTTGAACTGGACAAACCACCCTCAACACACTAGGGTAGGCTCCTGGTTACCTACCTTGTTACAGACATTCCTCTCCCAATCACTCTGAAAGGATTTCATCTCACTACGTGAGCCATCTGTCTTTATAAAGCAGGTTTCCTAGCCTACGCCCCCCCATGACAAAGGCTTTATAGGCCTGGAAGTTTTGAAAGCATTCAGAAGTAAGATGTGAGTAGTCCTAACAGCTTGAAGGAAAAATAGCATAGTGGTGTGGTACTTAAGCTTTTTTTTTTTTGAGTTGGAGTCTCACTTTGTTGCCCAGACTGGAGTGCAGTGGCCGCTCCCAGCCACCGCAGCTTCAACCTGCTGGGCTCCAGCGATCCTTCCGCCTCAGCCTTCCAAGTAGCTGGAACTACAGGCATGCGCTACCACACCTGGCTAATTTTTGATTTATTGTAGAGATGAGGTCTTGCCAAGTTGCCCAGGCGGGTCTCAAACCCACGGACTCAGGCAATCTGCTCATCTCAGCCTCCCAAGGTGCGGGATTACAGGCTGAGCCACTGAGCCCGGCATACTTAAGCTTTTAAGTCAGGCCTAGGTGGAGTTTTGTTTGTTTGTTTGTTTGTTTTTGTTTTTGAGTCAGGGTGTCACTCTCACCCAGGCTTGAGTGCTGTGGCACAATCACAGCTCATCACAGCCTCAACCTCCTGGTCTTAGGCATTACTTATGCCTCAGCCTCTCAAGTCAATGGGACTATAGGCCTGCACCACAACACCCAGCTAATATTTTTATTTTTTTGTAGAGACAAGTTCTTTCTATTTTGCCCAGGTTGGTCTTGAACTCCTGGGCTCAAGCAATCCTCCCACTTCAGCCTCCCCAAGTGCTGAGATTACAGGTGTGAGCCACTAAGCACAGGCAAGTCAGACCTAAGTTTACCACCTACTTTGTGAACTTGAGCAAATCATTTAGCCTCTTTGATCTTAGCTTTCTTTTCTGTACAATGAAATTAATAGCACCTATGTCATTAGATAGTTGTGAGGATTAAATAAAATAATGTGCAGTTCCTGGTATACAGTAAGCACTCAGTAAGTGACAACTAAGTATAATAATCAAACTGAAGCCTTGAAACCTGGTAATGAAATTGAAGGTGAATGGCATAAACCAGCACACACATATGAATGCAGGTGTATATTAATAGAGTACCCCTAAACAGTGGAGCCTCTGGAAACTCCTAAAGCCTAACCTTCTTATGAACCCCTAAACCTGAAATCATGCTGTGACCTAAAGTATATGCTGGCCTTATGGCAGAAATAAAACACCTGCAATCTGCTGAGAATCACTGCTTACAGTAATTGTGGTGAGCTGCCCCAGGCCTCGGGAATAGTACGGTCAGCATGAGAAAGTATAGCTTTCTGAAGGCTGCGCTTCTCCACCTCCCCTCCTCCTCCCCACTCCAGCCTCCAGAGGGGTTTAGATAGACCCACCCTTGTCCTGTGTTGACCACTCTGACCTGATTCAAGCTTCCAAATAGTTCCTCTCCACGCAGTCATTGTCCACATAAAGGTACAGTGTGGGGACAAAAGGAGAAAGCTCAGGTTCCCAGAATGCCACAGACGTGTGTAATCTCTTCTGACCCAGTCAAATCATCCTGTGATCTGCTCGCTCTGTGCCTTAGGCTGGCAACTCTGCAGAGTACTGCCCCCCACTCTGAGTTCTGTTCACGGGGCCTGATTCAAGCACTGCAAGGGAGAGGCACTCCAGGTGTGTTTCTGAGGAGCACAGTAGTACCTAGTGGTCTAGGTGCCAAGTCAATTGGATGGTACACCCGACAGTCTTAGTTGAATGCTGAAAGCCCATCTCAGTCCTCCGTGTATGGATCTGTTTCCCATTAAGGAACAGAGCCTGAGGGGACAGGAGGATGAGGGCCTCGAGTGAGCAGAGGGGAGGATAGAGGCTGAAGATGTCTTTATGCTGGGTTGGATTTGGAATTTCACTGAGGCTTTATTTCAACTGCTTCCTGTCAGACCCTTGTCACTCTATTTTTGCTGCCCTGTGGAAATCTCACACAATGGTTTTGAAGTACTGAAGTGCTTTAGACAAGACCTGAACTCCTGTAGTCCACCCCCTAGCAAGAGGCTGAGATATCCAAATATTGAAGTACCAATACTCACTAGGTGATTCATTTGTTCAGCAGATCTGTCTGAGTTCCCACGATGTCTCAGGTGCTCTCCAGGCACTGGGAGTACAATGGAAACGAGGCCTAAAAGTCCACACCCTGCAATGCTCATTTCCCAAAATGTGTCCCATGGAAAAATTATCCATTATTATAATGAATCTTTGGAAAGAAGTTTCTAGAGTCAAGTAAGTTTAGAAAACATTGCTTAGTATATTTCCCTTTTAGAACAACATATGAGCAATTGTTTAATAAAGACTCGGTAAAGGCTTGTAATAAATAAAATTGCTTAACTTTTTTAGCTCACTACTTTCTAAACATATTGAATTATTTAGGGAATGAATGTTCTGTGTGAGTCTACATAGGAGATGTTTCATACACTTATTTTGGGCTCCTTACTATATTTTAAGTATTTTAAAAATATTTTAAGTATACAAAGTAGAGCAATATTATAAAAGTACACGTATCTACCACAGAATTGACAAACTTTACATGCACTTAATTTCTTTAAACATGGTAGGTATGGCTGAAGTCTCTTTTATATGACCACAGGGCTATAATGTGTGTCAAGTTGTGTTGAGTACTATGAAGAAAGTAAAGCATAGTAGCTGGGTTAAGGAGAGAAACGATGCCCTGCAGTTAGTTCCAGGAAGTCCGCTCTAAATAAAGGAGGGAGGGAGCCAGAGGAAGCAGCCAGGCTCGGTGGCTCAGCCATAATCCTAGCACTTTGAGAGGCCGAGGCTAGTGGATTGCCTGAGCCCGCAGGTTTGAGACTAGCCTGGGCAAACTGGCGAGACCTCATCTCTACAATAAATCAAAAATTAGTCGGGCATGGTAGCACATGCCTGTAGTTCCAGCTTGGAAGGCTGAGGCAGAAGGATCGCCAGAGTCCAGCAGGTCAACACTGGGGTGGCCGTGAGTGTGCCACAGCACTCCAGCCTGGGCAACAGAGTGAGACTCCAACTCAAAAAAAAAAAAAGTGGGGGGAGGAGCACTTTTCAGGTGGTGGGAGCCCAAGGACAGAGGCCCTGAGGTAGGAGGATGATTCGTGGGTTTGAGTGACAGCCAGGAGGCCGTTATGCTGGAGTACAGGGAGCATAAAGGAGGGCGATGGTAGAGGTGAGGGTGAGAAGTGGCCCAAGGGCTCTGGTGCCTCTGGGTGCACACTTCCTGACAGCAGGGCTGCCTGTGTGGGCTCGCACTGTTGCAGGACCAAGACCTTCATTCCAGAGTTGTTCTCCCTCATCATTAAAAATGCCAACTTGGAAGCAGGAGTGTCAGAAGTAACCAAAATGAGTCTTTCCAGACAATGGTGGAAGAACTTGCTCCTAGAGGGTGATAGCAGGGCCTGTATTTCCCCAGGCTGCCCGGGAATGGGAACTCTGGAGGGACAGGGTTGTCCTCCCCTCCTTCCCCTGGCAGGAGGGAGGGCAGCTGACAGAGGCCTCACATGATGTTTTTACCTGAGATTTGCTACAGGAAGGAACACTGCTCTGGTCTGGCTAGAGATATGTATGTATATCGGGGATTTCATATTTCTAGACACTATGTTTTGAAAGATGTTAAGAAAGACATTTCCCAAATCAGTAGTGTGTCAGTTAGCCATCAGTTTATTCACTTTGATTTGTGTGTGTGTGTTCCTAAGTTAGATTTGATTTATCCTTTCAATGAAAGACTGCTAAAAACCTGCGTAGAATTGGTGAGTAAAAACAGCCTTTATGGGGTTAATGTCCCCTGGAAGTATTAGCTCTGAAATGGAAGCACAGTGAGTCATAGGGGATTATCCTCAGCTAGGTTGTCTAGTGATTTTTTAATAAAACCTCTTTAGTTAGAGGGGAAGCGAGAAATTGGGAGGAGTGTTAAATCTGGCTGTGACATATGGCATGCCATTGAGTGCCAAGTCTGATTTCCCTTATCTGGCTGGCTCAGGAGCTGTTTCCTTCCTTTCACCCTTGAAATTATACCTGTCCTTCCCAAAGTAAGATGCCCCATTCAACAGGTTGACTTTCTCTGATAGAGAAAAAATTACATACTTAAGGTGAGTTGCTGAAAACATAGTCTTCTTTTCCTTAACTTCCAGCACAAGTTTTGACTCAGAATATGGTCCTTCTAGTCGCTTAACATATTCTCTGGAGATATCCCAACCATAAAGAATTATCACATACTTGGCCAATAAGATACCACATTTACTTATGTGAGATATAGAAAAATAACAGCTTCATGAATTTTAATAGTGCTTAAATGACTATTCATTTTAAAATGGAAAATCTTAGGCAAGAACTCTTAGTAATTTACCCTTCTTTAGGGAACACCAAGACACAAATGTTTGAAATATGGAGATTGCTATTTGATCTTTAAGCCATTTACTCCTTCCAATATAGCCTCCACATCTATAGAGAGACTTATTTTTTAGAGCAGTGTTAGGTTCACAGTGAAACTGGAGAGAAGATGCAGATATTTCCCATATACTCCCTGTCTTCCACAGGTGCACAATGTCCCCCATTGACAACATCCGCCCACCAGAGTAGTGTGTTTGTTACAACTGATGAAACTGGGTTGACACGTCATGATCACCCAGAGTAGTTTACACAGGGTTCACTGTTGGTGTTGTATAGTCAGTGGATCTGGACAAATTTATGAAAGGTATCCAAAATTATAGTGGCATACAGAATGATTTCACTGCCCTAAAAATCTTCTGTGCTCCACTATTCATCCTTTCATACCCCCAAGACCTGGTAACCCTTTTGTTTGTTTGAGTCGTGGTCTCACCCTGTGAACCAAGCTGGAGTACAATGGCATGATCACAGCTCACCGCAGCCTTGACCTCCTGGGCTCAGGTGATCCTTCCACCTCAGCTTCTCGAGTAGCTGGGACTACAGGCATGTGCCACCACACCCACCCAATTTTTTTTATTTTTATTTTTTTGTAGAGACGAGGTCTTGCTGTGTTGCCCACGCTGGTCTCAAACTCTTGGGCTCAAGCAATCGTCCTTCTTCCACCTCCCAAGTGCTGGGATTACAGGTGTGAGCCATCACGCTTGACCTCACTGGTCTTTTTATTATCTCTATAGTTTTGCCTTTTCCAGAATACTATACAGTTAGAATCATGTAATATGTAACATTTTTCAGATTAGCTTCTTTTACTTAGTAATATACATTTTAGTTTCCTCCATGTCTTTCTATGGCTTGATAGCTCTTTTTTTGTTTTGTTTTGTTTTATTGCTGAACAATATTCCACTGTCTGTATCACAGTTTACCGACTACAGGACATCTTGTTTTCATATGAATAAAGCTGCTATAAACATCCATGTGCAGGTTTTTGTGTAGATACAAGTTTTCAGTTCCTTGGGATAAATACCAAGGAGTGTGACTGCTGGATCATATGGTAAGAGTATGTTTAGTTTTGTAAGAAACGGTCAAACTGTCTTTTAAAAGTGGCTGTGCTGGGTGGACACAGTGGCTCACACCTGTAACCCCACTGCTTTGGAAGGCTGAGGATTGCTTGAGGTCAGGACCTCGAGAGCAACCTGGGCAACATAGTGAGTCCCCATCTCTGCAACTTTTTTTTCCAATTAGCTAGGTGTGTTGGTGCCTGCCTGTAGTTCTAGCTACTAGTTTAAGTAGGAGGATCATTTGCACCCAGGTATTGAAGGCTGCAGTGAGCTACAGTCGCACCACTGCACTTCAGCCTGGATGACAGAGCAAAACCCTGTCTCAAAAAAAAAGTTAAAAAATAAAATGAGAATGGCTGTGCCATCCTGCATTTCCACCAGCAGTGAGTGTGCATTCCTGATGCTCCACATCCTCGCCAGCATTTGATGTTGTCAGTGTTCTGAATTTTGGCTGTTCTGCTAAGTGCATAGTGGTAATCTCATTTTAATTTGCAATGATGTAATGCCTTTTGATAATGATCCTTTCATTATTCACCATCTGTACATCTTCTTTGATGTCTTTGGCATATTATGTAATCAGGTTGTTTGTTTTCTTGTTGTTGAGTTTTAAGGGGTTTTTTTGAAGTATATTTTGACTTTACAATTAAAGCTAATTATGAGTAATTTTGTTTTGAGGCACCTTTCCCCCTTCTCCAGCCAGGGTCTGAAAATCACCTGGAGGCTCTTGCAAATGAGAAGGTGTCACCCTCCTCAGTCTACAAGGAGGCTTTGCTGGGACTCTGGGAGGTCATCCCTGGGTGATGGAATCCCACTTCCGCAAGTCTCCAGCGACTGAGACTTTTGATGAAGCTTCCCTCTCCTTCCCTCTTGCTCTCATGAGCTTTTCCTGACTCTGACTTCTCTCTCTGTATTTCTCTCATTCAGCTTTGTGTTTAGCTTTTTCACCACAAACAAATTGTCTCTAGTACAGCTGAGATTCCAGGAAGATTGCCAGGGTGTGCCTTCAATTCCATAAAAAGGAAAGATATTAACTAAAAACATATACATGTGCACACACTGGCTCCCTCACCCGTTCACGTGCCTGTTCTCTTACTAAGCTTTTCTCTTCCCACAAACAGCCCTAATGAACACAAAAGTTCAATCTCAATCCTCTTCCTCTCTCCTCTCTTCTCCCACCTCTCTCGTTTCTTGGCAGACACAGAATGTCATTTCCAGCATGTAGCAGATCACATCAACGTGCTGCCTGAACCCAAAGGCTATGTGGCTTCCTCTGTGACCCGCCTTTCTCTCCTCTTGAGCCTGGGTAATTAATTGAAGGCACACAGGTTAGAGTATTGGGCAGTTCCTCCTAGTGATAACATACAGGCTAAGCAAGGCCCAAATATGGCCCTTTTTATCCACCCTTCCAAAACCCTAACATCTTGCACAAGAGTACATTTATAAGCTGCCTTGTGCCTGTAAGCCTGTTAACTAGCAACAGCTCGGCGGTGCTGATGCTTTGTCTCCCTTTCTTCCAGCTCCTCTACAAGTGACCTCTCCAGCTATGACCATGCTTACCTAAGGCAGAGTCCGGACCCGTGCAGCTCCCAGGGGAGCACAGAGAGCCTGGAGCCCAGTGGAACATACCCACCCTGCCATCTTTCCCCTGCCAAGTCCACTGGCAGCATCGACCAGCTCAGCCACTTCCACAACAAGAGAGACTCAGCTTATAGCTCTTTCTCCACAAGTTCCAGCATCCTGGAGTATCCACCCCCTGGCACTTCTGGCCGAGAGCGTGCGGGCTCCATGGACACTGCTTGTGCTCGAGGTGGCCTCCTTGAAGGGATGAGGCAGGCAGACATTCGCTACGTCAAGACAGTCTATGATACCAGGAGGGGCGTCTCCGCCGAGTACGAGGTGAACTCTTCAGCCCTACTTCAAGGTCGGGAGGCCCGAGCATCAGCTGATGGTCAAGGCTATGATAGATGGTACAGTGCTCCTCGAGGCAAGGGCGCACCACCCCCATCCTGGAGCCAGCAGTGCCCCGCTTCCCTGGAGACTGCCACTGATAACCTGCCTCCTAAAGTGGGTGCACCCCTGCCTCCAGCTCGCAGTGACAGTTATGCAGCCTTCCGACACCGCGAGCGGCCCAGCTCCTGGTCTAGCCTTGATCAGAAACGGTTCTGCCGGCCTCAGATGAACTCTTTAGGCTCCCTGAAATCTCCGTTTGTAGAGGATCAGCTGCACACTGTGCTGGAGAAGAGTCCAGAGACCAGCCCTCCGGTGAAGCCCAAGCACAGTTATACCCAGAAGGCCCAGCCCGGCCAACCTCTACTGCCGACGGGCATCTACCCTGTACCGTCCATGGAGCCACACTTTGCCCAGGTGCCCCAGCCAACTGTGAGTAGCAACGGTGCGCTCTATCCTGCACTGGCTAAGGAGAGCGGGTACAGAGCTCCTCGGGGGGCCTGCAACAAGATGACTACCTTTGATGAGAATGGGAACCAAAACGGGTCTAGCAGGCCTGGGTTTGCCTTCTACCAGCCCCTGGAGCACAACTCCCTGTCCCCCGTGGAGAGGAGAGCAGAAACCACAGCCAAGTGCATCTCCTCCAAAGTCCGTTTTTCTTCAGTGCCTGAGAATGAGGAGGACGTCTCCTTGCAGGGACATCCTTCACCTCCACAAGGCAACGGCCTGCATTCCACCGAGGGCAAGAGCGCCTGTGGCAACAAGCCACGTTGCGGTCACCATGGCCTCAGATCCCCCCCGGCTCAGGCCTGGCGAGCAAGCGAAGGCCAGAGATCTCCCAGGCTTGCGGAGCCCTGGGAGGGGGGCGTCCAGGAGGACCACAATGCCAACCTCTGGCAGAGGCTGGAGAGAGGAGGCCTCGGCCAGAGCCTGTCGAGCCACCTGGTCAAGACCAAGTCTGCCTTCTCATCTCTGCAGAACATCCCCGAGAGTCTAAGGAGGCGCAGCAGCCTGGAGTTAGCCGGGGAAGCCCAGGAGGGTCACGTGGGGAGCAGGCCAACCTGGGCCGTCAGTGCCACAGTGGAGGACCCGGACGTGGGGAGCCGCCTAGAGCGGCAGGCTTCCCACCCACAGCCGGAGGGGAAAGCCAGCGCCTGGGCCTCCATCCCCAGTTCGGACCCCAGAGGCGAAGAGCCACCCAGCCCGCCACGCCCGCAGACGTCCAGCCTCGGCCGCGGGGGGCTCGGCTTGGGCAGCTCCTCCGCCCCACAGTTTGGGAAGCCCCGCTGTTCGGTGCTGGA